CCCCAGCCCTTTAGACCTCTAGACAGGCAGCCTCCTCCACTATGGAGCATAGAAGTTACACTTCGTGTTCTCCTGAAGCTCCTCCCCCCCCCTAAGTTATTGCTGTTCTCCCGCTGTGTGTGTGCTCATCCTCACCCTCATTGACTCAGGCCTGGGGCCAGGTGTGGTGGTGGGTGGAAAGAGTCATGTTTTTTTTTTCTCTCTTTGATTTTGTTTTTCTGTCTCCCTTCCAACCTATCCCCTTTCCCCCATCAAAAAAAGAAAAAGACAAACACAAATAAAATATCTGAGCGGAACTATACCTTTGGCCCAGGCTGCCTCTGTCTGCTTTGTCCTGCCGCCTAGCCTCCCCGGTATGCCCCCAATCCAGACCCTTGGTCCCCGGCTCCATGACCTCTTCACCTCCATCTACGTTATCTCAACCCCTTTCATCCTTCAGCCTCATCCTCTCTGCCGTCATAGCTTTGTTGCATCATGACCACCACCAGCTTGGGGGTCTGGACCTCTTTGAGCTTTGACGTATTTTCTTATTCCCACAGTTCCCATTTGTGGATTCCTTAAGATGAGTCCTTAGGTTCCAGGTCCTTTTGTCCTCACCCCCTGCTTTGTTTCCCAACCATTCCCTATATGGTTCCCTTCTTTCCGGGAGCTGAATTTCTCTCCTGGCATCAGACATTATCCTAAAGGGCTGGGGGATGGGTCTGGAAACCCTCTACAGTAGAGGGTAATGAGTTTGGGGGGCCAGGCAGAGAGTATGGGGGCTGTGGAAATGGGATTGGTTGTGGGCTTGGAATGGGAGCTGAGTGCGTAAGGGGCTGACTGGAATGTGGAGATCTGGCCAGGGTGGCAGCTGCTGGCCCATTGAACTTGTCAGGCCCTTTCTGGCCACCTCCTTTGCCCCTTTGCCTTATGTGGCCTGAGATGGGCCACCTCTTCTTATCCATTTCTCAGCTCCGTGCTTATCCTCCTTCCCTCCTTCCCACCCAGAGGTGCTGAACCTGGGCCTTCCTCTGTCTTTAGCTGTGTTGCTCTCTTCCATGGGTGTGTTGTGTGATTTGGTTTTCTCCTCTTGTACACATTCTGTATCTGCTCACATGCTACTATCTCTAGGTCATGTTTTCTCTTTGCATGGTCAAAGCTTCTTGTATGCCCTTAGTACTCTAAAGATTCTCAGTTCCCTGTCCATGAACTCTCCTGCTGTTTCTTGTGTGTTTTCCACCCAACTCTGTGAACATGCTCTTGGAACCTGTCTTGTTTTCTTTGCATCCCTTGCCCATTGAGAATCTTTCTGATCTCTCTCAACACAATCCCATCTCTCCATGTCTGTCTGTATACAGTTCCCCCCGCCCCCTCTGTCTAACATGTTTTCTGTTTCTCTCCCTCTCCCTGTCTCTGTTTCTGTCTCCTCTCCTCTCTCTTTTCCCCTTCTCCCCTGATTGTTCCTCCTCCTCCTCCTCTTCCTCCTCCTCCTCCTCTTCCTCTCCCTCTCCCCTGCCCCCATTTCCCCTCGGTCCATCCACTGCATAGTCTAAGGAGCTGCAGATCAAGAAGCAGTTCCAGGAGACGTGTAAGATCCAGACTCGGCAGTACAAGGCTCTGCGGGCACACTTGTTGGAGACCACGCCCAAAGCTCAGCACAAGAGCCTCCTTAAGCGGCTCAAGGAAGAACAGACCCGAAAGTTGGCAATCCTAGCCGAGCAATACGACCAGTCCATCTCAGAGATGCTCAGCTCACAGGCGGTGAGGCCTGGGGTCCAGGGAGGGAGCATGGTGGAGGTTGGCCTCTCTTTCCCACTTGGTTATGGGCACCGAAAGTGGGGGAGGGGGGTAGACAGAGAAGGGGCTTTTTGTTCCTGGGAAGCCTCACTCTCCCAGTTAGTATTCTCCTAAATGGTTTTATTCTCTCTGGAGGATTTTCTTTGACAAAGCCAGCCTGCCTACTCTACCAGGAACCACCAAGAAAAGAGTGGCTGTAATTTTTCCTTGAGCCTGAGTTAGTTTAATGTGTGAACAGGGAGCAAATCAAAATGCCTGTAGCCCTCAGGCCAATTTTCTCAGACTTCTGGAGGGTTTTGAAGGTTGCTGTTCTAAAAGTGGTCACACATAAGACTGGAATGGGCCACTTAAAATATACACATGGTGTAAAAAGTAACACTGTTCGTTGCTATTTTTTCACCCAGTCCCTCTCAGAGGTAACAGTTGTTAATAATTCATTGTACTAGATTTTTCCTATGCATATTTGAAAAGTTACATAAAAATTTTAAACAAGAATGGAATCATACTTTACATACTATTCTTTAACTTCTTTTTCCACCTAATGTTTCTTGGACATCTTCCCATGTCAGTACACATACCTCATTTTTTTAACAGCGTAGAATTTTCCATGGTATGAATATACCATAATTTATTTAACCCATCCCTTATTGGTGGACATTTAGGTTGTTTCCAGTATTTTGCTATTACAACGCTTCAGTGAACACCTTCGAGCACATGTGCAAGTATACCTTGGGGATAAATTCCTGGAAGTGTAATTGCTGTGTCACAGGGTATGACGACCTTTCATTTTGGTAGATGTTGACACTGGCTGCTGCTTGAAACCTTAGGGCCCAGGCCTACCTGGGGCAGGGGAGGATTGTGGGGGTGGGGGAGGAGGCCCCTAAAACTAGTTCTTCCTAATTTCCAGCTGCGGCTTGATGAGACCCAAGAAGCAGAGTTCCAGGCCCTTCGGCAGCAGCTTCAACAGGAATTGGAGTTGCTCAATGCTTATCAGAGTAAGATCAAGATCCGCACGGAAAGTCAACACGAGAGGGAGTTGCGAGAGCTGGAACAGAGAGTAGCTCTGAGGCGGGCACTGCTGGAACAGCGGGTAAGACGGCTTGGCCTCCAGGATGGGGTGGGGAAGGCAGTACCCCCACCCTCACTGGACTCTTTGATTTCTATTCTGGGTGCCCCAGGTAGAAGAGGAGCTGCTGGCCCTGCAGACAGGGCGTTCTGAGCGAATCCGGAGTTTGCTCGAGCGTCAGGCCCGTGAGATCGAGGCTTTCGATGCTGAGAGCATGAGGCTGGGTTTCTCCAGTATGGCTCTGGGAGGCATCCCAGCTGAGGCTGCTGCCCAGGGCTATCCCGCTCCACCCCCTGCCCCTGCCTGGCCCTCCCGCCCTGTTCCCCGTTCAGGGGCACACTGGAGCCATGGCCCTCCTCCACCTGGCATGCCCCCCCCAGCCTGGCGCCAGCCCTCTCTGCTGGCTCCCCCAGGTCCCCCAAATTGGCTGGGGCCCCCAGCACAGAGTGGGACACCCCGTGGTGGAGCCCTGCTACTGCTAAGAAACAGCCCCCAGCCCCTGCGACGGGCAGCCTCGGGGGGTAGTGGCAGTGACAGTGTGGGCCCACCTGCTGCCGCGGTGCCTGGGCCTCTGAGCCGCAGTACCAGTGTCGCTTCCCACATCCTCAATGGTTCCTCCCACTTCTATTCCTGAAGTGCAAGGTGGATAAGCAGATGAAGGGGCAGGGGCAGGGGTGGGTGGAGCCTGATTCTGGAGGGCTGTAAACTTGAGGCCCACCCACGGGTGGGGGACAGGATGTTGGTTCCAACTCTCCTCAAACCTCCTCATCTCATGAGCTTCTTGGGCTGGCCAGTGGTCCAGGGTCAGCTTGGGCATAGGTGTCTCAAGGCTGACTAGGAGCCCCTGCCTCCCCACCATGGTGCCAGGGTCTCTCTCCATCACAGCCTCGGAAAAGGAGGGAGATATGTGTGTCAAATATTCATCTAGTCCCCTGGGGGAGGGGAAGGGTGGGTCTAGATATACTATATTCAAAGAACTATACTACCCCTGCAATGGGGCCATGGATAACGGATGCCAGGCCCCCCAGACCTGGGATGTGGCAGAGCAAGTCTGGGGCCTGGGGTGGGGAGTACAGGAGGAAAAGGCTTGCATAGGAAGAAGGATCAGGATGGGGTCTTGGGGTCAGGATGCCTGGGTCTCTCCATTCCCCTGTTGCCGTCTGACGTCCTGTGCCGTCTTGTCTTTTTTTTTTTTTTAAACTTGAGATCAGAGCTGGGGCAGGGGAACAAGGAAAGGACCTTGGAAGGGCCTGCTCCCAGGTCTGGGGGCTGTCACGGGAGACCCTCCCAGCTACGGGGCTGGCACAGAGCCCCCATGGCAAGCTTTTAATAAACTGTTGGTTATTCTAACAGACCCCAGGACTCATGCTTTCTAAGATGTGTATTAAGGACTGTTCAGTGGCAGGTGATAGTGTCACTTGTATTTAAAGAGAATTTATTGGGCTGTATAAGTAAAAACTGCATTGATTTTAATGACTTTGGGCATGACTGGAGCCAGAGCCTCAAATGGGATCATTAAACTTGATCTCTGCTTCCCTTTGCTTTGTTTTAAATATTTTTAGAAGAGTCACTTTATGCTCAGGCTCCTGGCAACTCCAGGCTTACCTGTTACCAGCAACTTCAACAGCAAGAATCCCAGTAAAGTCCTCAAGTACCTCTCTGACTCCATCTGTAGCCAGAGGCCTGGGATAGTATTGATTGGTAAGGTGTAGGTCCTGTGCCCCCACTCCTTTAATGCTAAAAGAGTTTACCTATAGACCAAGTGGCTGTTTTCGTAAGGGGGAAGGAAGACACACCAGCTGTCCCCAAATTATTTCATTTTGTGCTTCACATTAAGGCCAGTTTTCATATGCTCCTTCAAACTATGGAGGAGGCTCAAAGAGGCACACTAGTCAGATTGGAGGAAGGAGAATAGGAACCACACTCATGAATAGAGTCTGGTAGCAGACTGGATGGCAGGGTCTAAAAGCTGGGACTTCTTTGGAGAACCTGAGGGAAATTAAAGGGAACCAGACTAGGGGTGGATGGGAAGACAGTGGCCACTTCTCAGCCTCCTGGCCCCAAGTACAGGGGAATGAGAGTGGGGGACTAGTTTTGATGAGGTGATTCAAACACTTCTTTATTAAGTCAAAAAATAAACCCCTGTAAGCACTTTAAACTGAGAATGTGAAACTGAGAAGTGAGATCCCAACAACTGTGTCTCTGGGGGTTTCAAGTCTCTGAAGAAAGTTACTTTTGCTCTGCGGGCACAGAATAGGGGTTGGTTGTCGGGGGCAGGCTATATATGTGCTTTCTACAAGTGTGTAAAGTCCCTGTTAATAGATGGGGGAGCTCAGTTACTGTCACCATCACTGCTGATGATGCCACGCATATGTGACCAGTCTGGCCTTGGGGGACGGTGCCGCTCTTCCTCTGAGTCCAGGGCCCGGCGGTATAGCTCCCCAGGGGTGGCTGCTTCTGAAGGGTTCCAGGCCGTGCGTCTGCGTGGCCGACCTGGAGGGAAGTAGATTACTTGTCTAAGAAAGTCCAAGCCCCATCTGTTCCTGGGGAGTAGTAGGAAGCCCCTCACCTGAACAGCTGATAATATTAGTAACGTCCAAGGATGCCACCTCAGCTGCCTCCTCACGCTGCTCCTTCAGAGCCCGACACTTCTCTAAAGAAGGGTTACCTGGGGCAGAAGAAGCTTGTGATCCTCTCCTGCCCAGCAGCCACGGACCTCTCCTGCAGCCCCCAGGATATACCCAGCCTAACCCTTCATGCCCAGAGCTTCCAGCTCTGCCCGGAGGACACACAGGCGCTCCTTGCGTGAGCGGCAGGAGCCCAGCAGCTTCTTGTAGTTGCGATGGGCACCACAGGCCCGAATGTAGCGCTTTAGTCTCATCACAGCAGGGTGGTCCTCATCACGATGACCAGCCTGGCAAGGAAAGACAACAGCTGAAGGCCAGGACTTCTGGGCTTGAGTCTGGGTCTCCCTCTTCCCTTAATTGTGGCCTCCCACCCCATCCTCACCCTCACCTTCCTGCCTTTGGGTTCCGGACTGCCATTTGAAGAGGAGGAGGAAGAGCTTCGTGTCCTGCTTTTCTTGGAGCTCTTCCTGTAAGAGCGGTTCTTCCTCTCCCCCTTGGGGGTCCCCCCTGCCTCACTGTCACTCGCCTCCCTCTCTGAGTCACTTGCCTCACCATTGGCTGTCTTTCTACTTTCCACTTTGGCTGACTTTCCCATGCCTTTAGTAGCTGGTTGCCTCCAGCTGTCTTCCCCATCCTCCTCACTGCTTCCACTCTGCCTTTTGCCACCATTCCACTGAGTCCTGTCCTTGCTCTTTCTCCGCACTAGGGGCTCTTCATCTCCCTCACTGTTACCTCCGCTGCCTTCTGCTCCTTTCTCCTTCTCTTCCTCTTTGTCCCCCCAGTCTCCCAGCACAGCCCTGTTTTTCTGCTTACCGCTCCTCTCCTCCCAAGCTGACTTTCTCCCTCCATTGTTTGGAGTTCTGAGTTTCCAATCCTCTTCCTCTCTGTTCTCTTTCTTGGCTAGGATCTCCTCCCCCTTGCTCTCCTTTTCACTTTCCTGGTGTCTTTTAGCCCCTTTGTTTTCCGTCCTTTGGGTGGGTTCCTCCTCACTGTTACTCTCTTGCATGGCCTGCTTCCCACTGTCTGAAATCTTGCCTGGTGCCTGCTTGTTCTTAGTTGTGGCCTCCCACCCCATCCTCACCCTCACCTTCCTGCCTCTGGGTTCCGGACTGCCATTTGAAGAGGAGGAGGAAGAGCTTCGTGTCCTGCTTTTCTTGGCGCTCTTCCTGTAAGAGCGGTTCTTCCTCTCCCCCTTGGGGGTCCCCCCTGCCTCACTGTCACTGGCCTCCCTCTCTGAATCACTTGCCTCACCATTGGCTGTCTTTCCATTTTCCACTTTGGCTGACTTTCCCATGCCTTTAGTAGCTGGTTTCAACTTCCTCCAGCTGTCTTCCCCATCCTCCTCACTGCTTCCACTCTGCCTTTTGCCACCCTTCCACCGGGTCCTGTCTCTTGTTGCACGTTTATTCCTAGTCCTGCCTTTGGACTCCTCCTTATCCTCTTCCCCACTGCTCTCCTCTTTCCAAACCTTACTTGTTCCAGCAGAGCTCTCCTCCTCTTCCTCACAGCTCTCCTTCACTGCCTCCTCTGATCCAACCTTTGCAGTAAGGTCCCTCTTCTGTTCTTCCTCGTCACTGCTCTCAACTGCTTTTTTTGAGGCTCGCTTTGGACTCTCCTTCACTGGGCTGACTACTGCTGCCATCCCATACTTTGCCGGGTGGCTGAAGCAGTTTGGATTGGAGGCTGCAGCACTGGGCTCTGGAATGTGGAGAGAAGAGAAGGTTGGGACAGGTTCCTCCTGTCCCTTCTCCCTCCACTTGGGATAATAGGTTGCCTCAAACCCTGCACTGACAGATGAAGGGAAGGACAGCAGGAAACAGCTGTCAGTCCACCCTGTTCCTGGTCCCTGACTCACTGACCTCATGACTTCATCCAGTGCCTTGGAGCATAATACATGCAGGGTAAATACTTTTTGAATGAACCACTGTGCAGAAGGCACTAACCTGATTCCGAATTCACACGGAGCCTTTTTCTCTCTGGGTCACTGCAGGGGGTGGGAGGCCTCTTTGCCTTCTTGGCAAGGTCTAGTCCTTCTCTGGCACCCGCTTCATCCACCTGTTTGTGCATCAAGAGGGCAAAACCTGTATCAAGGTGATGTTCTGCCTCACCCTCTCTCAGGCCCCTACTCCTAGGCAACAAACCCTGCCTCCCGTAGCGGGGCCTCAGCGCCCACACCTGCATCTTCAGCAGTTCCTCCTCAACTAGCCGCTTCAGTGCCTGCTTCTCCTTGGGATTCAGATGGTCACGGCCAGTGTGAGCCAAGAACCTCCGCCGCACGATGGAGTGCGTGAGCATGCTGTGGAGACACGTGTCAAGGGGGAGTCCGCGCCCTGCCCCTGCTCTTTTCAACCCCAACCCCAACCCAGTGCACCTGAGGTCCGGGCGGCCTCGGAAGAAGCTACGAGTGAACTCCTGCATCTCGTTTTCCCGCGCCATTTTGCTCTAATTGGGATTCGTAGCTCCCGCCTTTTTTATCTTCTCGGCCTCCGTTAGCACGTTTGACAGGAGCTTGCGCACGCGCAGTGTAGTGGCGCCGTGTGGCGAGGGGCCGTTGAGTGGCGGTTGCGGCCCGCTTGGACCGAGGACTTTGCCAGACAAAACCTGATTTCCCCGGCAGTTGGAGGGTCTCGCGGCTCCTTCCTTTCCTTAGAACCAATCGTTTTTTAAAATTCTCGTTAGAAACCGATTCGGCGCAACCTTTGGGTGTAACGTAATCAATCCGCGACGCCTCTGTTCGTGGTCACGGGCCAGCTAGGCCGCTGTGACTTCGAAAGACAGAAGAAAACAGACATCTCTCCTGAAAACTAGGGATCCCGGGGGAAGACTTATGCCTTCCAACCGCTGAGCATTTTTAGAATCAGTAAAGGCGCTCTCCTGCATCCTCCATCTTTGTGACATCATCACGTCGCGGCGACGCCAACTTCACGGTAGCCGCTTGAAGCAACGTTCCGTTCCCGGTATTCCCTGAGAGGGCAGCCAGTGTGGTAACGAGCCCTGGGCGCGGGGTACGCCGGGAGTTGTAGTCCCAGCAAGCACAGTTTTACCTAGTCTCCGGAAGTGGAGGCGTGAGAGGCGGAGCTGAGCCGTCTCAGGGTAGCGGGACTTCAGTGCTGGGGCGCTGCTCCCGGGGCTGGTCATGAACGGGCCGGCAGACGGCGAAGTGGACTACAAGAAGAAATACCGAAACCTGAAGCGGAAGCTCAAGTTCCTCATCTACGTGAGTGATGGGGCGAGGGGGAGGGGGAGAGGCTTGTCGCTGGTTGGACCTCAGTTTACCCACGAGTAAAGGGAATGGGGTGAGCTTTTGCTGGGTTCCGGGCCCCTTTCCGGACCACCGTCGGCTCAGCGGGCGCCTTGACTGTAATGCAGGAGCACGAGTGCTTTCAGGAGGAACTGAGGAAGGCACAGAGGAAATTGCTGAAGGTGTCCCGGGACAAGAGGTGAGGCACGCTGGGTTGGAGAAGGGAGGCCTGCGGGTGACGAGGTTGCTGTAGATCTACGTATTCAGACCCCGTCCGAGAATGCCACAAATGCATGGTGCCTTCCTTGGGGCTGTTGCTAGGATCCAACGGGCCAGCTAGAAGGGACAAGGGCCCGGGAGAACATTGCCGAGGCGGGAATAAACACTCACTCTCCCTGCTTCTTTCCTCAGTTTCCTCCTAGACCGACTTCTGCAATATGAAAACGTGGATGAAGACTCTTCTGGTGAGCATGAAAAACTGGTGAAGGACATGATTCCTGGCGCTTCAGCAAGCTTCCTGGGCCCCTCCTTTTAGGCTGTGGAAGCTGATACAGCTTCCAATGGTTCTTAAGCCCAGTTGTTTGCCCTTCATTTCTACCATTCTTTCACTCAAGTATTTATTGAACATCGACTGTGTTTCAGGCACTGTACTTTGCACAGGAGATACTGTGGTGACCAAGATGGATGAAGTCTCTTGAAATTTGTGTTCTAGTTGGGGATAATAAGTAAACAAGAAATTAGAATTTTAGATTTGGAAGGAATAAAATCAGGGTAGAGCAGGGGTTGGTAAACTTTTCTGTAAAGGACTAGATAGCATATATTTTAGGCTTTGCAGAACATAATCTTTGTCACAGCTACTCAGTTCTGCTGTTGTAGTGCAAAAGCAGCCAGAGGTGATATGTAAATAAATGAGCATGGCTGTGTCAGTAAAACTGAATTTCACATAATTTTCATGTCATAAAATATTTTTCTTTCATTCCCCTTCCCCCCCAGACCATTAAAAAATGTAAAAGCCATTCTTAGTTTGCAGACCATATAAAAGGAGACGGCAGGCAATGTTTCAAAACAGTGTCCAAGAAAGGCCTTTTTTAGGAAGTAGTGTTTGAGTTAGGACCTAGATAAGAAGGGGAAAAAATCTTAGAAGATATGAATGAGAGGTTTCAGGCAGAGTAACCAAATACAAATACTCTGAGGTAACAGAAGACCAGGTTGTCTGAAGAGCAGAAGAGCTAAGACATATAAGCAGTGTTTTCAAACTTTTTCGGAGCACTATTTACAATCAGTAATATGTTTTACATCATGAACAAGTCCCTACTTAAATACTTACTTACAAAACAAAATTTAATGAAATGATGTTAAGATCACTATACACAATTTTTTCTGATACTTTTTAGACTGCTTTTTCTGTTTTTCATTGAATGCTGGTTGCAAGCCAATAAATTGACTTCATGACCTACTGAGTTGAGACAGTTTGAAAAAGCTCTACATTTGGCATTTGTGCCTCTGTTCCAGGATGGGACCCTCAAGCCATGTCACAGTCACCTCCCTCTGTGGTACTTTATATATATATATATCTTTATTGGTTTCAGAGAGAGGAAGGGAGAGGAAGAGAGAGAGAGAAACATCATTGATGAGTCATTGATCA